AAAAAAATTATTTTCGTAACAATTTGTAACATCCGCGAATAATTTCATTTGTTACAATAATTACATTTGTTACAAACTACAATTGTAAACAATATCTTTGTTTACAATTACTTAATTGTTTACAACTTACTTAAATTCTTCATATTTTAATATTTTAAATTTTCAAATCATTTAAGAATAATTTTTGTAACATTTTCATAAAAAACGCATACCTTATTGTTATGCCAGTCTCGATTTTCGTTGTCAGTTCTCATCATATGCTTTTGAATTATATTTTCATCGGTCGAACTTTTCGCTGTGTTAGCTGCTTTTTTTTTCTTCTGAAACAGATATACAGTATATAATAATTTGTACTATGCAAATTATAATATAATATATGTACATGTAGATTGTAATAAATAATGTGGTGACTATATGTAACGTTGATCTTATGTTAGTGTCGCAAAAATTACAATTTAACATGCTATAATATATAATACCTTCTTTTTTTGCTTTTCCTCGGATAACTTTTTCGTCAGAATTTCTGACTCTTTTTCTGTCTTTTCATTGGCTCTGTCAATGGCAGAAGCATTAAGTTTTGGTCGTCGTGGGCGTTTTGCTATTATCTCAGCCTCCAACTCCTCAATAGAATCTTATCGTTAATATTTAACGATAAATAAAAAAGATTATACCAAAAAGAATTAATTAGATAGAAATAAAAAAGAGACAGTATATTATACAAAAATGCAAAACAAAGAAATAGTAAAAAAAACTATTATTTATATTTTAAATCATTAGTAATCTTTTCTCCTTTGGCAAGAAGACATTGTCTTACTTATATTTAAAATCATTTATGATCTTGTCCTTTTTATAATAGTAAGAGTATATTTTGAGTTCATTAATATTTCAAACATTTTTAATCTTTTCTCCTTCGACAAAAATATACATAAAGTAAAAATGTCTTTTATCAAAATCTGCATAACACAACCGTTTTTGGGAATGTTGTCACTATCTTCTGATAATTAAAGCAGATATTTCGACGTTATGATACCGTTATCATAACTTCAAAATATCTGTTTCGATTGCTTCGGTTGCAGAAGATTGTGACAATGTTTTCAAAAACAGTGTGCTATATGAGGAAGGAGTAAAACTAAATGTGATTTGAAATCTAAATAAAAATTATAATCTAAATTATATTTAATCTTTAGATTAAAAAAATGTAAAACAATTTTGCAGAAGGAAAAAAATTAACAATGGTTTTAAATATAAATAAAATAAAAAATTTTTTCTAGTCGAAGGAACGAAAATAAAAATATGCTTTTACATATAAATTCAAGTTACAAATTTGTAGCCGAAGAAAAGAAGATAAGAAAATTACTTTAAATATAAATGAATTCAGAAATATTTTTTAGTCAAAGGAGAAAAGATTATAAATAATTTGATGAATTGAAAGAGAATTCAATTTAATAAGAGATGATAACCATATTCGGTCGAAACGGAATTTCTGAAAGAGAATCATTGAATTGTTGTGTTGAGAAAGTTGAATTTTCAAAAACTGAAAGAGACTACGAATGTTAGTGTTTTATTTATTTTTTTTTCTTGCAATGGTGGCTGGATTAGGGACTGTCGACTTTAGCGCGACGAACTTCCGAACCTTTGAGTGCGATCAAAGTCTCACTACAAAAGCTTTGAAGCATTTGATTGATCAATCAGAATAAAAAATTTTACGAATTCACCAATCAAAAAATGCTTCGAAGCATTTGTGGCATTACGTTTAATTGTACATTGGCTATGTTCCGTTTCATGCATATGCGCGCATTCCCCTAAGTATACGCGACGCTCACTATATAAAATGCGCGCATATGAGACATTCCATTATAAATCGAACACTTTTCAGACGACTATTTTTTAAATCGCTTGAAACTTTTTTTACGTGTTCTAGGCATGAAAAAAGTGGACCCGTGTCTCGGGAATTTTTTTT